ATCGAAGACCAAATCACAGAATCTAGGAACACAATGGCTTCAGAGCAGGGGGATCATACATATACGGTATCTTCACATTAAAAAAATTAATGGAGAAACATGCTGCGAGAGGTAAAACTTTCCATGTAGTATTTGTGGACTTACAGAATGCACACATTACAGAGCTATTAAATAAGTAATTGCGAGCCACGAAGAAAATGGTATCGCTAAAGCCTACATTTATCGGTTAAAGAATTGTATACTGGAAATTGCTCAGCTACAAAATGCGCGCGTATAATTCTTCAGCTGCTGGGTCAATGAAACCCTATCTCGTTCAGGTTTTTGTTCAGTTTTTCTTGATCCATTGAGCAAGTGCTGAGATGAACCGTTGTTTTGTTTATAATTGTAGCTTCTCTAAGTGCTCATATTTCAGCTCTTTTTTGCACTCGCTAATTGCTATTTTGTGAGCAAAACAATCAAATCAATCAGAACTGAATTGCGTTTACAAATGCATATAATAATTATTCGGAAGCAAAAATTTAGTTTTCAAATGTTTCTAACCGCGTTTTTTTTGGTACGAAAGATTTGTTATTTTAAGAAAGTGGAGCTCACCTATTTCCAAAAATTGGTAATTTAAAAGTGAATCTTCTTTAGAAATAGCTTTCTAAATTTCAAAAAACATTTTGAAAATTTTAAAGTATTTTATACAATGTATAAGCTTTCCCGGTGGGTCACTGCAAACCATAATAATGAGATATTTCCTGTTGGACCTTCAAAACAAATTAAATGAAAAAACAGTGAGTTTTTTGTTATGTTAATTATCTAGAACTCAACTTAGACCGTTCTACATTTAGGCTTCAATGTTAATTGTATTATTTCATTAGACCTGAAGAGCCAAAAGCTCACGAAACGTCGTTGAAGACTGGATTAAGATTAAATTTCAATTATTAAGAAATATCTGCTGTCTAAACCTTATGAGGGGCCCTGTTGTTAAGACAAAACAGTACAAAATTAAGAAAGATTAAGAACTTAAGAAAATAGTATAAAATTGAATACAACTACGCAATAAAGCGGGTAACAGGAAAGGTGATGGGGTAACATCTCACTGTATTGAAGCATTTTAAAAAACGCATTAAACGCCAAGTATAAACATCATGCAAACAGTAACAGTTACAAAATCATGAGGAGGAGCATAGTGAAATTGAAGAACGAATATTAGAGTAACGTCTGCTCAATGTTGGTTGAACGAAAGACAGATGGAAGAGCGGGGTGCAGCTTAAGATAAAACCAACACATTTTCTGTAAACACAATTTGGTGAGAAATTATTTACACAAATTTTCACAATTTTATTCCAATTACACCTTCATCGTGTTGCTTTTGGTTGGTCACCGTTGAAAATTGTCACTTTATGCCACTCTCAAAATGTTTCTCAAAACGTCTTGCTCTCCACGCAACAGCAACCAACGTCTTGTCTGGCTTTTCAAACAAGTAGACACGAAGTTCGTGGTGCGAACCAGTGCTGTGCAGCACGAGCAAAAATCTGTGTACCTGAGAAGCCAAACCCACATTTTTCCACCATGGGAATATCGGGAGTGAAATTTATTATTGTGGACGTGCGAACGGAAGTGGTATCCTGGGATGCTGTTTCCACATTGCTGCGATCATTTATTAGACCGACGCTCTTTCTTGGCGAGCATTGTTAAACCGTTAGAATTTTGAGTATAATGTTTATAAACGATCGCGTGATTCCAGTTATTGAGACAGTGAAAATGATTTGTTGTCTATGAGCGTCTAATTGTAAATGATTAACAAATATACTGAGTAATTTTTACATCGTAAACAGGAATCATTAATATACATACAATCGAGTAATTTGATGTAAATTAGAAACAATAGGTAAATTTAGACACAAAAGGCGTTTGATGATTTTATTTAGATAATACAAATACTTTCAACATAAAGCAAACATTTGTCAGCAAAAAGTTGTAAATCATGCAGGTAAGTGAGTCATTTCAATAATTGTAATATAAATTTTTGCAACATTGGTGATAAACGTTTTCCCAATCACTTTTTGGTGCAAATTTCAAATTTTTAAACTGATAAAATGGTTTTATTTGTTTTACACTATTGTGCACATTGTTTAAAAATATGAAAAAATATATGATAGAGAATGTTATAAGAAACATTGTAAGGGACAAAGTGACAGTACTCCAAGGTTATCACGTCGAAAATTAATTTCAAAAATTGATTTATTTTTTTCGTTTTAAATTTGCGTCAAAATTAGTTGCCAACAATACCTTTAAATTCTACTATTTTCTCCCGTCCCTACAATTTTGTCAGCCTGACACATGCAATAGAAGCCGAGAAAAAATAAAACACGAAAAACAGTTTCTCGTTGTATCTCTGCAACCTATTGCACTAGAGGCTCTTTTTAGGGAATCTCCGTCGTGTTTACTATCCTTCATATAAACATCGGGATTATTGATTTGGTTTGGGCACACTTTTCACATCCTATTCGGCTATACCTCTTAGATAGCAATTATGAACTGGAAATTGGAAACTGTGAGTGTGTCGAACTTTACTATTTACGAAAACAGAAACAAAACTTTTATGAGAAATACTTGTACTCAATACAAGAGAATAGTTCCACATCATTGGTATCAACTCACATAAACAATGCTTCGATATTATTTTAATTTTTGAATACATACGCATTTGAAAGAAACATTTTAAACCTACCTCTTCAATGAAACTTATTTTGAAGTTCAAACTACGGGACAGAATGTGTTTCCGGGACTTTCTGTTTGTCGTTCTTTTGTTTATTAGGGACTTTTTTGACAGCATAGCGTGCAGCAGTTGACTGCAATCTCCGTCTTCTCCGCTTGCGCAGATGAACAAAAGCAAAACTTGAACTACACAAGCGCAGAAAATAGATAGTGCTGTTGATCGCTAGAATGCTGCACCGTGCAAGAACTCGCTACTTTCCTGTCAAGCAGTTTCATTCGAGTGTCGATTCATGTTGGGTGGCCGTTTGAAAATGCTGTCTCAAAAATATTTTTGCGTGCACTCGCAGTTTAATATGAACCGGATGTGTTCGCGTTATAGGAAGAAATAAGCTGGATTTGAACTATATCAAAACATTATGAAGAAGTCCTCAAACTTAAAAATGACAAAAAATGAGTTTGATATATTGTGCTGTTTTTTTTAGAAAAAGCTTCAAGTGCACATTTTGCGACTTAATTTGAAATATGGGTTTCTGCGGATATTCACGTCTTGTAGGGGCTTTAATTCTGTTTAATTAAACTGCTTCACTTATAGAATATTTTACCAAAATTGTTACGTTCGCATTAAGTTGGGTCGTGACACACTGATGCCGTAATTGGTTCTGCAAAATGCAGACGAAAATTCGCCGTGGTAAAATACTCTCCAAAACCATTGTGTCTTGGATATATCAATCCTTTTCTCATCTACTGCCTGGAAGGTGCTACAGTTTTGTTTCACTGAAATGACGTGTGTTTAGTGATTGCGTGGCCTCTAGACAGGCTCAGCACGACGGTTGCGGGAACAGCTGTAGACGTATCGCTGCGATAAGCTCCGTGCATGTTACGCAACTAAAGTTACAAAAAGCTGAAACACTGCTTCCACATATCGCAAGGACACGATATAAAATATTAGTACTACTCATAGATATTACTTGAAGAGGGTATTTTCTGATAGAATTTTGAAGAATTAAATAAATGATACCAACTTTGTTTAAAAATATTATATTTTCTACTTAACATAATAGTAAACGGTTACTTCAACTTTGAATTTTTTTTTCAAATCACAGAACAATTAACACAATTGATAATTATCTGACACAACAATCACACAATGAAAATAGGCACTGTCGTATAGGACGTGGCTGTTATGTGTGGTATCGCTACGAGATGAAGCGATATTTTTAAAGGTTGGTTCATAAAACGTTCTTTACCTCTGAATATTATTAAACTTTTCTATCTGGTGTTTCTAAAATTATTAAATTCTTATCATATGATACAGTATGAAGTGATGGTCAATGTACGGATGGACAACGGTATGAATGTTCAGTGTATGTATCGATGCATGGGATAACTATTCTTCAAAAGGTAAACGATATTGATTTGAAGGAAGGCATTGTGCCTCAAAAAACTCCAAATTATGTCTCTTTAGAAGGCTAATTTGAGTAATTTTTCCTTCTACATTACCAGAAATCAATGCTCAGACAAAAAAGTAGTATTTCTACACATTTTTATAAAAGTTTCAATTAAAGTTATCTGATAACTGTCTTCGTTTAGTACCTCATCGTAAATATGTGTTTAATAATTCACACGCGTGTACATGTTTGAACAACATTGTTACACCTTATCTTTCTTTAAATTCTCGAAACAATTGCTTCTGCTTTATCACGATAGGGTTTTGTTACAGGCCACTGCACCAATGATCATATCTTTTGTAGATACCTTCCATCTCTCTCTTACACTCTCACATCTCGGGTAATGGGGTCACTCTCACATCTCGGGTAAAAAATAATGTACGTGCGCCTATAAATGAACACTCGACTTTATTCATTTGGTTTGTTTCTATGATAAATTAGTAAATTCGGGGGTGTATATTGCCGCAGGTCCCGTAAAATTTTAATATTTTTAAGCAAAACGTTAACAGCAACGTATTACATGTTACTATACTTCTAAAAATACATAAAAGATTTTCATGAAGTCTTGATTACGTATCGGTATGTTTTGCATTCTTCAGTTTTCTCCAACACATCAGAGATACAAAATAATGAATAGCATTTTAATTTGGTAACATTTATTACAACATTCATAACACGGTTACAACATAGTATTTCTATCTTAACTGTTTACGGTGTAATTGATCCGAGACATTCAGCGACATAACGTAGCCCACGGAGGAAGTAATTCTGTGCTCTACTTGGGACCCTTGAGACGCTGTTACGTAAGTGAGGTCGCCAGTCTTGGCTCGAAGAAGTGATAAGAGTCGACGAGCGTAGTGGGAATGTAAGCTGTGGCACACAGACCTGAAAGCTGTGTGTAAACCGCCTGGCATCTTCAAAGAGCAATAGCCTGGGGCTTTATGAACTCGTCGGGCATCGTCCTATGGTAGTTGTATCGCCGACGTCGACTTGTAAGTACTAATGCTGAGTGTTGACTACTACCTATTCACAAGATGTTTCTTTTTAGCATAGAAGGAACTTGAAGGAATTTTGAATTTGATGAATCGTTTGGTGCACGTGAAAACAAAACATGCACTCTAAAACTTTGAGCCAATATCTTTAAAATTCCAATTTTGTGGAGTAATCTAGATTTTTTTGGATTTTTTCAGCAATTAAGTCAAATGTATGAAAGTAATGATGTAATAATTTAAATAGATGTATTCGTACAATTATAAATATTTTTAAAAAAGATAATGTCATAAGAATAGAATAGTTAACGCACACAGTCGCATACAAAAGTTTGATGAAGTATTTTTATTTTGCTATAATGCAGGGGAGGGATAAACGAGGCAGGCAATAAGAAAAAAGCATGCAAATATGAAACGAGGAAATAATATTCACATTTGAAATAAACTAGTATTTACTAGCAAAATAGGACGAAGGAGAACAATTCTAAATCAACATCTTATAATTTTAGTGGCAATAACAATATAATAATACAATAATAATATAACAGTAAAAGCAATTAAGGTGTTAAATTATAATATCCACTAAATCAGTTGGTCTGAATAGCAACAACAATTAAAATGTCTCTTACTGTTGTAATTCTATAGGTGATATACATTTTTGATGTATGGTTAACCACAAAATCGAATACCGACTCAAAACTACCAAGTGTAAGAATATTAAGGGCACAGTCTTCAAATACAATATTTTATGAATTTTATATGCAATTTACAGTGGTATCAGTATACTTGTAACATCATAATTGTTGTGAATTGACAACGAATTCTTACAAAATTCATTAGAAATACATTAAGTTTTAAATAAAACAAAATCATGTTTTAAATTTGCATTAACATAATTCTGGTTTATTCCGCTGCGTGTTTGATTTGAAAGAACACACACATTTATAATTCGGGAAAACAAACCAGCTCGCGCAAAGATAATAAACAGAGATATATAATTCGTCCACTAATGTTTATTAAAAGTAGGCCACAACACAAAAAACGAAACGCTAACTCAAGGCAACACTCAACTCGTACACAGTAGTACGTTCCCCAACGAGACAAACAAACAACAACGTGAAGGCCTGGCGTATCAATATCCACCGCGTGCATTAATATGTGCATTCCAATGGCAAGCTCCCCCACACTTACGTAACGCCTCCTCCCTCCCCCCCCCCCCCACCCCGACCGCGCGCACTACCTCGGCGTTGCCGCTCCAAACATTAACTTCATTGTGTCCATTATTCGTCAAGTGCCAGCGACCCGGGGGGCAACGGCGGCGGCGGGGCCGTTCTCATTCATCCGAGACGCGCGCCGCGTCATTCGCCGGGCGGAGCGCCCGGGGCGAGGAGTCGCGAGCATGGCGGTGTCGGAGGCGGTGGCGGTGACGCCCCTGGAGGGCGAGCGCGTGCGCAAGCTACTGGGGCTGCTGAAGCTGGGCAACGAGCCGCAGGCGCGCTTCGGCCCCACCGGGTGCGTGCTGGCGGCGCGCTTCGCGGACAGCCTCGGCGACGTCAGGGCCTTCGAGGTGCGCGACGACGACGTGTGGGTGGTCACGCCCCCCAAGTGCGGTAAGTCGCCCGCAAGTGCGGTAAGTTGTCCCCCAAGTTCGGTAAGTCGCTCCCAAGTGCGGTAAGTCGCCCCCAAGTGCGCAGGTGGCAAGCAGCTTCTAGGGAGGGAGTCCACTACTTTACTGCTTACTTTCACGGTTGACGCCAGAAGGTCTGTTTCGGCTTCACTCTTCTTCCAGCTGGTCGAAAATGGTAGGCCACTTTTGTGACCAAATCTTTCATCCTATGTGTTCATGTACCATCCATCCTGAATGTTTCTCCTTAATTGTACCTAATAAGGAGAAAATGTTGAGGAATTTCGGAAACACTATACGTATTGGACTTTAAATTCGGATTTCACTATACCTACGTGACTATGTAATTTCACTTAAGTATAGTGCTTGTTATAGTAGAATAGTACCAACGTTTTTCCGTTGATGGAACTTGAGATCCGGCGCCGATATTCACGTCCAGCTTCTGGTGTTTTCCTCTCCAGGCATCTCTCCCAGTTAGTCTCTGCGTTTTTTGTTAAAGTACTTCTCTGGCGTTCGCCGGGTATTGTGAGTAGAAGCCTCGGAAAACGAACCATCAGAACAGCCGAACGTTAGTATTCTTCCCCAAGCCGGCTGTAATTGGCCTAACAACACAGGTACGATCGAAAACCCGCCATAATCCGGATTCTAAATATAGGACCTCCAGGACAGAGAAGTTGCTAAGGCAAAGGTGTTGCCACAGAGCCAACTCAGCTTTAGAATTCTTACAAGTTTGTTTTCTGATCATTAAAAAGGGTATTCAAAAAAATCTGTTTGCTTTGGTTTTAGGGTTTTCTACAACTGTAACTAAGACGAACGAAGGGGTGATTGAAACTTGGCGTTCTAGTTCCACTTTTGCAATAACTTTATTTGTTTGAAAATAGAAAATAATGTTAAAATTAGTCCGAAAATTTGGCGTGTGAAAAGTTTATACTGCAACACGAAATACTTGATCGTTTTATTTGCAACGGTTACATAACTTCAAAAACTCGCAAGGCAACACCGACGCACACCTCAATATCATGCCAAATGTCACAACAGGATATGATCGAGATGCGAACATCGTACATGCAATGGACGCGTGATAGATGTTCGCAACACAGACATTTTCATCCTTACATTGCGTTCTGGGAAAGTACTGGTCACAGCAGTTCCGTCCCGACTTGTAAGAGGATGCGCCAACGCATAACGTTTTTCATATGACACCGGCAACCGTACGGACGGTTCGATGACGAAGTTATCATGCTGCGATTACGAAGTAGTGTCTATATACGACCCGCGATGGCATTGCGTTACGATATGTTGTTACATTCTGGACTCAGAAAGTACGCGCGGAAGAGCGCAGTGAGTAGAAATAAACGCCCTTTGGTTTTTGAAACTAGAGGTGGTCGAACAGCACCTCTAGCGGTTTACCGCTGACGTTGTTCCAAATAGACAGATCAACGGGCAAACTGATGTACAGGCGTTTTACGTCAATGAATTTTTTGGTATTAAGGATCCATAAAACATAGAATTTGACTGCACAACGTGTTGGAGGAAGTAATTTACTAGATACAGGCACAAGATTTATCCACTTTTTCGTTATCAGGACAATACGTTTTTCTGTCGAAAATTTTCCTTTTTTGCATTACAACATTTTTTCTATACTGCGAATGCAGTAGCGAGAAAATAAACATTAAAATAGCATGCAATAATAAATGGATGTAAACTATTACACACGTTTTTATTACGGCAGTAAACTGTAAATCAATTATAGCTTTTTCTCCAATATTTTGTACATTGAAGTAAACGTGAAAATTTGTGGTAATTATAATAAACGTTTCCAGCGCTTCTTGCCAATCTTAGAGAAAATAACAAACTTAAAGCATTGTGTAATATTCACGAGTATTTTAAAACGTTATTTATCGTTTGGCAAAGTCATCACTGTTATTAAACGTCCCGATTGCGCCCACTGTGTCTCGCTATATACTGCCACTGCGTAATGTTCACATATCAGAAGTCATTTAAAGAAGGGAACTACACGGGATTTCAGTGTAGTAACCTCAATTTCATTTGCCGTATGGTGACAGCTATGAATGAAGTTAATATTCGAACGTAAATATAGTTTTTGCTGTGCCAGTAAAATGTTTCCACGTTATTGAAATGTGTCATGTTTTCTTATAATATTGTCATTTTACTATTAAAATATATAATATATATTATTTGAACATCTGGCCTACACACTAATGCATGTAACACAAAATATTTCACTATTCCTCTCTCTCATGAAATCATTTTTCCTTGATTACAACCCACCTCCCACGTACCTTACTATTTGACATCTTACAACAATAGAAATTCATCTACTAATTTAAGTACTTTCATAAAAAAACATTTGGTCAAATTCACCATTGGAGAGGCAGCATATTTTTATTTAATATCACGAAACGATGAAATTGGTACAAATTATTCAGAAAACTAAGTTAGTTAGCACTTCCAAAAAAGAAAACTAATTTACGAATTCGTGTTATAGTAGCCACAAGAAAATTCAAAGAGCAAGATGACTCAGTTGTAGGGTTGGTCCGAGATCAGGGCAGCGTACCGTTATACAACCTGTTGTTTTTGCTCAAGAGTTCCCTTTCTTTGGAGGAGGCAATTTCTAAGAAAATAAGGTGGATCGAATTACCTCGTTTCAGATCGATTCTAAAAGTTAGTTCGTGATCCTCTGAAATTAGAATCCATCTAAAAATGTTTACTTAGAATTAATGAAAGAAATCACTACTTGAAACTAGTGGTGAATCAACACTAGCATAATTATAACAACTAGAATATTTTCTAGCATTATTTGTAACTTCTGCACTGACCAAAGTATGGCGAAAAGCAGAAGAAATTGTTGTTTTTAAATTTGGAGACTTTTTATGAACATTTTGAAAATGACGTTCCCATAAAGTATCTCTAAATATGAAAATATTCAATTCAAATTCGTATGGTCTCGATCTGAAAATGAAAATTGTGGACAAAATCATCTGACCAGATTAGGTTTTGACGACATACAGTCACACATTTTGCCATTAACCCATTTTTCTGTATCAAGGACCCACAAAACATGGATTCTCACTACACAAGATGGAGGAAGTTATTTATTAAGTAAAGGAACAAGGATGATCCACTTTTTCTGAATCAAGGACACACAAAATTAGATTGTCGAAAAATCACTTTTCTGTGAAAAATTGCCGCAGCATTAAACTACTTTTCTAGTACAGTGCTCTAGTATAGTACGTAAGTAACATGTGAGATAGTTAAAAAACAAACAATTTTCTGAGTGACATTTCTTGCGAATGAAATGCTGAATATTCTATGTAACGGCTGTACGGCTCAGCATGGTGGTTTGAAAATTATAGTGTTCTCTCAAGCGACTCTTCTTTTAAATTAATGTTACAACATTCGTACACTCCATTCTCATTCAAAGGATTTTTAACACACAAGTTTCACCACAATATTTAAATTTTAGTATTAATTTGACGACAAACAACCCGAGAAATAATGGAACGTGTGTACTACGGTTCTTTGGCTGTGTAACAACTTGATAGAAGAACTGTTAATTACAATTTTCGTGATTCCAATTTCTCTTCATGACATGCCTTTAGCATTTAATATATCTACCAAACATGTAAAATATGTCTGTTTAAACGTAAATATTCATTGTATTGTAGTGTATGTTTATTTATATCAGGTAAATACTTATTAAAATATTGATTATCAATACAATAATGGCATAAAATATATCACATTTTTTTATTGTTATAATATAAGGCTTTAATTAGATGAGCTTCAATAAAAATTTCAGTTGTATAATTAATGTGATGATAAAATGATCCTTTTTATTATTATTGTTAATATTAATAATAATACTAATAATAACAATACTACTACTACTACTAATACTAATACTAATACTAATACTAATACTATTACTATTACTATTACTATTATTATTACCATTACTATTACTATTACTAATACTAATAAAAATAACAACGGTTTACAGTACGTGTTTTGTCTTTGGTTACCAGGAACTACGTGGACTCAAGAGATGGTGTATCTTCTCTTAAACGACTTAAATTATGAAGAAGCAAAGAAGGCACCCCTTTACAAGCGAAGTCCTTTTTTTGAGTAAGTTGTCAACTTTTCACTCCCATTTACAATTCATCAGTATAATATGCATAGAAAATGATAAAAGAACATGTGACTTGTAGCTAATACAATAGAATACTTTCCCTTATCAATTTGCCTTAAAATATACATTATACGTAACAGATTTTCATGTCCAAAATAGTTCTATGCATATACTGCAATAGCATACTTGTCCAAAGCAATTCCGTTGATTAGTCTGGTGCCCACGTGAATAACCGTTGTATGCATACTATTTATGATGACTAACTGAAAATATTAATGTATAATATGTGGTAAAAATAAAATCACTTTTATTAAGTGTGTCCAACTTGTCGTTTAGACAGCCTTACTGGCGTTCATTGAATATTTATTCAAGTATACAAATCACTTAATGACACGCAAAAAAAATTGCTTCTATTAAAATCACACTAAACTCTACAAATAGAAAAGTTAAATATCCACTTGAATCATATACAATATTCTCAATTTCAAAAATTTACTTCTAATCTTCGGATAATTTCCAATTCTCCATGGAAAACAATTAAAACCATAAGTGAAGATAAAAACAATAATTCCTGTAAACTCAGGATTAGCAATAACATCTCTTGTAAAAGCAAATACATTAGCAAAGCATTTTACACTTACATTTACTAATAATATTCCCCTGAATATATGTTCTTCTAAGACAATATTACAAAAAATAGCAAATACATTTTCCACATTACCAACATTTATTAAATTTATTTCACCTTCTGAAGTTCAATATTTAATTAAAAAACTGAAAAATTCAAAATCTCCAGAACATAATCAAATTAATAGTTATATTCTTACACAGTTACCTTTTCCAATCATTATTTCACTAACAACAATTTACAATGGATGTCTCAGATTAAAATATTTTCCTGAATCTTCGAAATTAGCCATTATTTATACTATTCCTTACCCCAATAATGATCACTCACTACCAATTACCTTTCACCCTCTTAGTCTCTTATTCTCACTATCATTACTTCATGAGAAAACATTACTTTCCAGGTAACAAAAAAATATTTATTTAAATGACATATTACCCAAATTTATTTCTTAATCTATTTTGAAATGTTATATTATTTTAGTGACTCAATTTGGATTCAGAATTAATCATTCTACTATCCATCAATTTGTAAGATTAACTAAATATGTCGCTACCAACTTTCAAAAATTTAAACATACACGTATTAGCAATATTTCTTGATTTTGAAAAGGCTTTTGATAAAATTTGGCATGATGGGCTGTTATATAAACAAAGTCAGATGGGAATCTCATATTACTGAAAATCCATAATTAAGAATTTTATTACATCCTTTTCATTCAAAGTGCAAATTAACTCAGAATTATCTGATGAATATCCAGTTTCAGTCGACGTTCCTCAAGGATCCTCACTTTATCCTTTTCTCTTGAATGTTTTTATCTCTGACCTGCCATCATTTCACAATTCAGAAATAGCATTATTTGCTAATGAGAACTTTATACACTTCACATAATGATCTATTATAATTTCAAACCAACATACCACAATATTTACAAATATTAACAAATTGTTCAATAATTGGCAAATAAGTATTAACTATACAAAATGTCAAGCAATAGTAGTTTACGTAAAAGGGCGCGTTACGTTTTTTTACAAATTTCGATTTTTAGAGACTAATGTTTCAAAGAAGGAATTGTCACCGCTCTAATTGTTCCTGTGGTTTCACACATAACAATTTTGTTACTTCAAGGATACTATCAAATTCGTATGCCAGAATTAACTGGTTCCAATCCATTTTGGTATAAAAAGCTAGAACAACCTAACGCTCAATAATTTACATAAACGTTAATGTCTACAAACGAGAAATATGGCGCGAAGCTTAACAGTAACTAGTGGTGCTACAGTACTGCATACTTACTTGCATTATTTATATAAAATCTTATTTTAAAATCTGTCTTTAAGAAACACAATTTATTATGAAAAATCTCTATCTTCAATATTGTAGTTGTAGAAAAAAGTCACAAATTGAACTTATGGATATTTTTATGAACTAAAACATACAAGAATTTTAATGATATTTTTCTGTGATTGGCGAGTGGCATGTGCTGGACCACATCAAAAACGAACGCAATTTTTAGGTCTTTCAATTAAGTCAAACCTTAAATGGAACGTCCACATAAACGAATTTAACACTAAATTAAGTTTTTTATTCTACGGTTTCAGAATTCTTTCAAATTCAGTCAGCCTGCACACTGCTCGTTGGGTAAATATCGGGAATTCAGGCGGGGAATAATTCGGGAATTCAGGCCTGAGATAATATTCTTGGAAAATACATCTTATAGCTCTCAGACTATTAGATTACAAAAAAGAATTGTACGAATAATAAGCAAATCCCACACACGTGATTCTTGTAAGCCTCTCTTTATTAATCTAGATATTTTACCATTACCTTGACTCTTCATATATGAATCAGAGGTTTTTGTCAAAAATGACTTACTTAAGGGCGGGAATATATTTTCCGCAAACGCCGTTGTCTATAACTAGAACACTCGACATAGAAATCATATTCATCAGGTGACATTATCAACAGCTCACTATAAAAAATTCACTCACAATACATGTACATTATTTTACAACACCTTACCCGATTACATTAAACGATTTAATTCGAAAAGTTCCAAGTAAAATCTTTTGTACTGCACAACTGTTTCTGTACAATTAGAGACTATACCGAGCATCTAAAACGAAAGCAATATTAAATTTAACGACATTTAGTGCATTATTAACCATTTGGATTGTATTATTCTAAAGAACCTGTAACAAGTATTGTACATCAGCTTTTAGGTCAATGACCCCCTTATCGATCAGGTTTCCGTCCAGTTTCCCTGATCCTTAAGCAAATACTAAGATGGCCCCTTGTTTTGCTTCTGGGCATAAATGCAACTTCAATTTAACTTCTCCCCATAGCACGTCACACACAGATTTTAACTACTTTTGACGTAAATAAATAGAAATAATTGTCTACTTAAGATCATATGGATTGACCCTATTAAGGCATGCTTAGTGCGTAAAAAGTTCACTTTTTAACACCAGCGATTGACTGCTGACTGACACCAGCGAACCACATGATACGATTTTCAGATCTTCAAATAAAATGAATGTGAATGCAACAATGAAAACCCGAGTTCTTCAAATCTGTTTGATGAAATGAAGGACAATAAGGGTGTCTAAAGAATAGTGTATGACACACGTGGTTAAACAATTTTATTTTGCTAGTACGCCGTACTCCTTTCGGCTTACTGAGCAAGTGACGCAAACTTTTCTACTAAATAATATGCCCCTTTTACCATTCGTATCATGTAAAAGCCAACGTGACGTAATATATAACGTGGAAGTGGTTCACAGGTACACTCGATTCGCTCCGAAGGAAATTATAGAGGAAGAAATGGACATTGATACACTAGAACATGCAACGAGTCTGCCTTCCCCGCGCTGCATTAAAAGTCATTTACACAAGCCTTTGCTCCCTGAGCAACTGTGGACGAAGAAAGCTAAGGTACGAATTCCAACTACATTTCGATTTTCTTCGTAGACTGTATTCATGGCAGTAAGAAAATACAATACATTGATTACTGAAATAATTTCAAGTATGTTAATGATGATCAGAATTTATCGTTAATTTTATTTTATTGTTAAATTCCAGAACAAACATATTTATACGATAAGAAATGCATTTCATTAAGAAAAGTAAACCATAATATACGTTGATGTGCTTTTAATATTTTCAGGTCGTATATGTAGCACGAGAACCAAAAGACACAGCAGTTTCATTTTACCATCATTACAAACTTCTCTCCGGATATACGGGAGATAAGGAATTTTTCTTCGAATGTTTTTATGAAGGCTTAGGTAAGTTAGTTCAAATTTATCGCACACTTTACAGAATGAGAAATACAAACAGAATAAATATTTTGTTACAACTTCGCTAATGAATACTGTGAAATTGTTCTTAAGCAGCCACTTAAGGTTTCGGCGAAAGCTGATAATATATTATTATTATTATTATTATTATTATTATTATTATTATTATTATTATTATTGTTAATATTAATATTGTTATTATTGTTATCATTTGGTCGTGAATTGACCGTCTAGGACCACGCGGACATATACTTGCTCTTACCGAGGCTCAGTAATGTGACAAGTGTGACTCCTTTTTTTTATAGAGAGGGGGATCAGCTTTATGCTAAATTCAATTTTTATCCCCCAGGGTTACTAGTCCTGGGGGATGGAAGATAGAATGATGATAATAATCAAGGATGAATGGACGACACACACATACCTAAAGACATACACAAACTCACCCATGCCCAAGGCGGGACTCGAATCCGTGATCATTCCGTCCGAGATCGCCATGGCACTATAGCCCCAGGAATCTCGGCTACCGGCATTATTATTATTATTATTATTATTATTATTATTATTATTATTATTATTATTATTATTACTATTATTACTATTATTATTACTATTAGTTTGTTTCGCGAATCGGTCATCATTGGGTTATGCGATACGTATCCTGCCGGAGCTCAGATTTGATTATTGGGGTATGTGCACTTTATTTTTTCTATAGTGGGAATCAGCATTTTAATGATTATTCCATTCTTATACCCAAGGGTTGTTATCCTTGGAGGATGCAATGAAATTCTGATGATGATGATGATGATGATGATGAATTAGACACGCGAACATACTGAGTCACACACAACTATGCCTGAGAGTCTCGAACCCGCGATTCCTTGGTCTGAGACCGCTACGGTACTGCCCCCGTAGGGATCCTGTCCATCGGATCGACGTTATTATTATTATTAATTATTATTATTATTATTATTATTATTATTATTATTATTATTATTAAAATAATAAATAACCTCCACTGGCAGATCTGTAATGCCCTCGAAATTTCAAACACATGCTCTAAGTGGTACACTCACCAAAACCGGTGACGTCTGTTGGATTGTGTACAGTATTGTACGAACAACAAATTCAAACTGATCACCCGATTGCGGGAAACAGTCCGGATATTGGTAACCAGGATTTGGAGAGAAATCTTGTCAACTTGCACATGTGGCTGTTCCCTTCGATCAAAACGTCGTAACCAAAGAGGCAGAGAAACGACTTAAGTACAAGAGGTACAAAACAGGTCATCCCACTAGTTATCTGGAATTTGGTATGCAAAATTTGTGTAAGAATTTAGCTAAACTCCCAGGTCATTCAAAGACTGAGAAGAGCAAGTCTTTGCTTTACTTAGAGCTTCTCACAGTTTGCTTTTATGTATTATAGAGACACCGACAGTCCCTAAAAGTATTCTTTAGGAATCTGGTGGCAACCTAGGGTAGATATTATATTAAACCGACTCAGAACATCTTTAGTTGTAAATTAGAGGAATAATAATAATAATAATAATAATAATAATAATAATAATAATAATAATAATAATACCTTTCATAGTTATTCTTCTTTAAAATGAGAGGGATTAAAAAATTGGATCAGTTACTTGCACTCTTTCAAGACAATAAACGACTCTGCAATACATTTTCAATTGTAATATTGCTACGAGTATACGCAATATTTACGCAAGGTGTTTTGCGACTCTCTAAACGTCCTTTTAGAAAAGGTTTTTCTCTTAAGAGAAACTTCCCATGAAAATTTGAAAATTCACTCTCCTTGGTAATGGTTACTTGAAATACTTTCACTGATTAACGTTTTAATTTTTTTTTATTTGGGCAATTAATCACCTCAAAATATTTATGTAGTTTGCTGTTTCAGTTGAACATTCACCATTATGGGAGCATGTACTGGAATTCTGGAAGATAAAAGACCAACCTAACATACTCTTCAACACATACGAAGAAATGAAAGAGGTAATTCAAGAGACATATGAATCCTTTTACGAGTCACTTCTGAATACAACCTTTCGGTCTATCAAATATGAAATAATCTGATTTGTTAGCTTTGGAAGCTCACACTTGCGATGCGATGATCATGAACATGTTTCATTGCCTTGTTTTTCCGCGGTCTCTCCGTGTATCTCGCTACATTCAGGCAAAGAACTGTGTTGATGTAAGTGCAATCCTTTTTCATTTCACCTTACCTTTCTTTTGTAAAGATGTTTCAGCAAACCTTGTAGAGATATATTAGTAAGCAATTTGTACAACAAACACTCCTTAAAAAGTAATATTTTCTTGTACTTTAACTACTGGCACGGTATGAAACTTTATTAAATGAAATATCTTGCTTTTCGTGCGATCTCTTCTTTTCCCCAATAAGTGATCTTCATTCAGTCATAAACGTATTTCACACATACGAACATATGTTTTCTACGCGCCAGTTTTCAATTTCTAAACTAATTTTACCATATAGACCTATTGTGTAAAATGGAAGTTTATTTATTTACGTTCCCGCTGTGGTTCGGAAAAGGTTTCACTTTTAACAAACTGAAGAGAGGCAATTAAAGTGGCCTTTTACCAAATAGTGTGTTTTGATCGCGCATGGTTTGGAAAATCGATGAAGAAACTTTCATGATCACCCATGCAACCATCTTCATTCCATACAACAAAAAATATATCTTCACGATAAATTATGTAACCTTTTGCTATTGAACACGGCCACACCGTTGAAGATTTCCGAGACGTTGGTAAATATAGTGTAATCTCTCTGAAAACATTTCTTTTTTTAACGTTATATGTGAGAGAAGATGGGAAATCTAACTTCGCCATAATAAGTGCATCTAACATCTTAGAGATAACACACAGATGTCTCTTTTTTGCTTTTAACGGTCACATTCGTCTTTAACCCTAGTTAACATGCAACCCTATAAGTTTGTTAAGTGCACTTGTACCTACCGGTAGGTTAAGAAATTTAAAATCCTTAGCAACGGGTTTTAACATCCTTTGTAACCTAAATAAACAACCACCCATTCATCCCAAGTCAACATTGTGTATCTCAGCATAGAATAATATACCAATAATGAAGTTGACGTATGTACCTGCGACTGTAAAACAAAACGTAAGACGAAGGTTTGTCTTTATAAAAGGAATAAGTGTAAATCACCGTAACAAGTTCTTAAAGTACGCAAGCATTACATCTTCTGTAATCAACGGCAATGTGATTTTGTAATTGCCAAGTTTTATATTCTTCCTATGGCTTCTCGTATAGTGCTTTAGATTTTTCAGGGATTAAATTTCGCGTGACTTCCGCAGCTGCATCTAAAATTTCTTAAGGTACAGTCGAATTTTCAGCGTCCATCTTCCTCGAGCTACGGTATAGAAGTGTATTGTTGAAATAGATATATCGCAAGCAATACCCACCAAAATCGATTATCGTGCCGCAACAACAGAATTCATCTATTTCATACCGCAGTAATGTCGTAAATTTTCTAAAAAAAATTGAGATTTTATGGTGACCGATAAAACGCTGAACATAACACAAAATGTTACAGAGTTATTACTGCCTCGTCCAAATTAAAAACCTCGCCTCCGCTACTCATCGCCTCGATTTTTAACCTTTGCTATCGGCAGTAATACTCATAACATTTCTAGGTATGTTAATAGCTATAATCGAAAAATATCTTTGCAGGATCTCCCAGCCGTCGTCCAGCGGACAGCGAAATTTTTAGGGAAGTCCCTCACCGAGGCGCAGTTGACGCGCCTAGTGGAGCACTTGGACATCAAACAAATGAAGCGCAACCCCGCGACAAACTACGAGGACCTGTTCACGAAGGCGCGCGAAGAGGGACGCATCAGCGACGACCAGGCATTCATTCGCAAGGGCGTAGTTGGGGAAGGCCGTCGCGAGATGTCGCCCGAGATGGCGGCGCGTTTTGACGAGCGCACGCGGCGGGTGTTTAACGAAGCTGTTGGAGGCTGCCCCTGGCAGATATGAAAGGAGAATGCAGATTAGCCTTTCTACTTTCTGTCGAGATTGCGGAAAGGAAACAACGTAATATCCGGCTTCAGTCCGAAAATTTGTCGTTTTTCTAAGACAGGCGTTCAATGAGAAATAAACGGTAAAATTATAATTAAAACTTTAAGGCAACCTTAATACGTCATTATATGACGTCCATTCATTCACTCGCACTTTCATAAAACGGTTTTGTGCATTGCTTGAATAATTAAAATGTTGATTTTAAGACAAGTCAATTAAAAGCAAGATAATAAATTTTGCATGCAATTTTCAGATCGACAAATATGTGATAGTTGAAAGTAAAACTTTCCATGTCGTTCCTGACGTGTACATTAATGTTTCTGCTGAAGCTAAGAACACCCTTTTACAAAATAATTTCGAAGTTACGTTACGTTCTCTTTTTGTTGTGGCTTAAACATTACTAAAATGCTTTAACAGTGCCAAATTATTTCTATCAATTTATTTACACAATTGTTAATTACTATTTTGTGTCATATCTTATTACTGTTTACTTTCAACAAGTTGGTATCACAGTATTTCTTGACTGCCGCAATTTAGTAATAAGTTTAATGGTGCATTTGTGTCTTTTGCAACACTTATTTTTGGTAAGAATCTGTGAAACAATTGCACGACTAAATACATTCATTTTTCCTTACTGAATTAAAGAGTCGACGATAGAACGTGGTCTGAATACGATAATGAAGTTGGGTGGAAAAGATACCAGGCCTAAAAGCTAGATAAATTCTCATTCCGAGAATTGCATTCATTTGGAATAGAAAATATTTAGCTCACACATGTGGTAAATAACACCCTCACACACGAGGGTGGCAATTACAATACAGATCCCCATAAATATTCTTTAAATAGTGATTTTTTCAAATGTTAGCATGAAATAAAAAAATGTGTATATTGACAATGGCTGTTTGGGATGTGATGAGTTGTTTATGTAGTAATTATTGTAAATACATTAAATGAAATTACAAAAATGTTAACTTTGGGGCGAGGAGTGTTTGTTAAGTTGTGTAATCATTCGTCATAATATAATTCTCATTGAAATTTTAATTTTGAAAAATACTCTTATAAATGACAAACTTGTGTCTCATGGACTTAATTATAGAAATTATTACTTCCTTGAAGTAAATATACATCGCCCTTTATAGAGGATGATCATATTATTAAGTACTGATATTTGCTTGACCGGTATAACTTTGTTATTACTATGGTCTGCTTGGAATACTCACAAGAGCAAGAAAACCTGTAACCCTTTTATATTGTAACTGTATGGTACCTTGAATAATTGTATTTTTATACAATATATATTTCACATTCATGCTTTTCATTCAATGAAGATATCCACTGACTGCAGCTGTAAATCACAGTGATCAAGAACATAATAATAATTTTGGTATAAAAAATAAAATACATATTACGGATAGGCTGGAATAACAATATTTTGAAATACATAAACTCACGGTTTAATAGTATCATATATACGTAGTATAGGGACGGTTGTGTAATGCTGCTGAAAATCGATTTCAAGAATACAAGGGAAATACACGTTTCGGGGTTCCCTGATACCGAAAAAGTGGTTCTTTTCAAAACGTCCATCAGTCTATCTGTGGACACTTTTTCCGTCGCACACTTGGAAAACTGCTGTCCGTCTGTGATCACTTCTAGCTCTTAAACCATGCATAGCATTTTTTCCAAATAGAAGAAACGTCTGTCACTGACAATTTTCAAAACTTTCTCAAAGCCGGCTTCAAATATTTTCTTTAAATTTCTCGTAGAATAAAGTAACAAACACTATTAAAAGTGGAATAGATTCGATTTTCACGGTTAACTTCGAATTTTCGAAAATTCTAAAAGTATGAATTTTTTTCGGTGCCTTCCTACAGCTACAAAATTAAAGCTAGAGATTTTTCCTTCAAATAAAATTTGTTTTCCATAATTAGTTCCTTTATTAACGTCAAGTGCATTTTTGAAAAAAAATGATAGTTTATGCGCAATATTGAATGCAATATTTGTAGTTTTAAAAAATTACAAAAAACAAAATTTTCTCAAAACGGCTCCAAACTTTTTCTTTAAACTTTTGGTAGAAATCGTATTCAATTCAATCTATAAAATGACATAAAGGCCATATTAGTCTATTCTTTTGTTTTTCAAAACTTAAAAAATGTAATTGTTTTACTGGTCTCTCATGTCGTTATTATTTACATTAGCGTCAATTAGCGTCTTTACATTAATTTATTTATGAGTACATGTGCTTTAAATAAAGTCCGATAAAGTTTCCCGAAAACTCACCAGTTTTGCATGAAAATGGGATCAAAATTCCACATTTTCCGGTTCGCGCAAACGCCATTTTCTCAAAATCGGCTCTAAATTTTTCTTCATACTTTTTGAATAGTACTTACTTAGTGATAATAGCATACTTAGTGATAATTGCAGTCTTTAATACAACGTTAAGTTCATTTCGAGGTTATTTTTTGTTTTTTCAAAAATTACACAAATGTAATTTCTTTTAAAGAGCTCTCACTTCGCTGATATACACATTTCCACTAGTTGATAAACACTATTGTATTTCTGAGTTAATGTGTTTCAAATGACAAGTTTTTCGAAAACAAAAAAATTCTGTGAAAATGATCTTCAAAGTTCGAGTTTACAGCAGCATTTAAGCGCAATTTTCTTAAAAATTGCTCCAAATTTTTTAAAGAGGATTGCCATTTAGGACGAGATCTTGCTGTTATTTAATATTCTTAAAATAATATTTCCGTTATACTATTAAGAAACCGAAAAATTTAGAAATTTTCAAAAAAATGTACTTTGTGCGGCGATAGATGGCAGCTGGCCAGAGCATGTAGCTAGTTCGTATAACTAGCCTAGACCATAGGAAGTATAAAACTAGTACGGGAAAGTGTAGGTATGAATTCTCATTTGATCTACAATACCTTTCCCCTTTGAAAATTCTAGGGCCTAATATCTTTAACGAGACAGACTTTTAATGATTCACGATTTTTTCTAAGACTTTGTCCCGTTGGTGCACTTTTTCTGCATAAAGAAATACAAATTATTTAGAATGATAATGTTACCAGTCTTTAAATAACATTCACCTAAGTCTTATTTTACTACGAATAGAGAATAGGTTTTAACGAATATAAAATAAAAAACGGACTGATATAAATGACGATTTGTTGGAAGCATAATGAGACAGTTCTAGGCTAATTATTTACAAACTGCAAAATGTTCGCACGGTTTTAACTTGTCATCATCAATATATTTCTGCCGGAAAGTCCGTTCAAGCTGTTTGGCTGTCACATAATCAGGCAGAAAGAAAAAAAACATTTTTTTTTATAGAAAGAACTGAAAAAGGCTTTCTAAAAATATTCTGTTTTTACAATTCAATTGCGGATCATTGTTAAGTGTAATAATGAAATTTGGGGGGCACAGGTGGTAGAAATTTGGAAATTAATGCTTCTTGGTAAATTTTACCTGTCAAAAAGATAGTCAAGTATCGTCTCTTCTCATTTTATTTCCCTAATCACATTTGTACTATTACTAAGATTATTTTCTATTGCAAGATTGTTAATTTGCTAAGATTATTATCTCCAATTTGCAAACATAGAGTTATCCAATACAACCGTCTCAGTTTCTATTGCTGTGTGAAGAAAGAAAAGCTCAGGCAGGCCATTTATGCTACTCGTAGATACACACATGGGAATATGTCACGCTTGACAAATTACGATAAGGCGTGGATAATTAATAAAAACCGCCAAGATGTGGAATCAACGCTATCAGGCAAAAGTCGGATAAGTACGAGCCTCGAATGCTAAATACATACATTCATTTTCTCTAAATAGATATTAGATTAGAGAAAATCGATTAGCAGTGTGAGGATTACAGAATCATATGGGTCGAGAAGGTCCTTGCCTTGTAAAAGAAAGGCTTGCACTAAATATCAAACTTCTGGAACCTAGTGCAATCCAACAGGATTAGTCTCACGAAGTTGTCGTGAAAAAGCTGACCGATATTATCATAATATGCGTTTAGTAGCGTGTCATAAGCAGGAATGTTTAGTGGCGTGTCATAGCTCTCAGTCACGACAGCAGGTGAACAGTAGCAGATTCGTTGGCATGGCCCCAACGATTATCCCTTCCCCAAAATAATTCTAATTGGACTTTCAAATAGTTAGCTTCACACGCGGCCTTCAAAGAGGAATGGCTTGGCTACAATTGTAGATCCATGCAGGGGTGGTCTTGGCGAAGAGAACCCACTTTACCGCAGTAGATCAATTAACTTGAAACACATGGTCATGAAGAGTTATCTTTAAAAGTGTGTAATATGCAAGGCTATAGCACCCCTCATTCCAATACTTAGAATGCAGAAATGGCGTGAATGAACACGGGTAGGGCAAGCCCCACAATAGCAAGGTGGGGAAGTCGCCTACTACAAATGAATGTATCATTTAATATTTGAAATAATCTATCGCTGTTGTCACTTATATTATTTTTCATTTTAAGTACGCAAAATAACAATTATTATTCAATCTGATGATCGTAATACGGCATACAATTCATTACTTATTATATTTTAGTTGAATAAAAAAGTATGAATCGGGTAGCTATTTAAACTAGTAAGTATATATTTCAATATCTAATATTTTATTAACAATTACCAAAAATAATTTGTGTTGTTTATTATCTAAGCCATTTTTATTATAGAGAACTTTCTTGGGAGTATTTCTAGGTCCGTAAATCGAAAACTTTTCTTCATCAACGTTTGCTACATAACGTTCATGGAAGAAAAAAATATACAATGATTCAGCTACTTAGTTAACCATAAAGTTTGGTTATTCTAGTAGTTAGACCTATCATAATGAATATGAAGTGATGGGCATATTCACGAGATTTGTTCTCTTTTTTCTTTATTTTAATTTCTATTCAAAGAAATCGTTTCCCAAATTGCGAACGAATGCACAACAGCATGGATCTTGATGGATATTGGTAAAAATGCTGAGAAATGAAAATGATGTAAACCTTAGCCAAAATACAAATTACAGCTTGCATGACCTAATCTCTGGCGAGTTTGGCTCACGCTAAATCTCATTGAATTCAAGTTCCGCAATAACTAAATGAGAGTTAAGGTTGAGAAAAAATCCATTAGCCAGGCTGATGACTTACGTGAATGAATCCCTTAGTGCATGTGAATAAGTATATTCTTTATTTCCGGGCGCTTCAACTGTTTGCTCATTAGTCCTGTGAGTTCACTGAATGTTATAGCCGACAGGGGGAGACGTTGCTCTCCGGCTGGATGATTAGATACGGCGCCGACCTACACGTTTGGCTGCGGACCCCCCCCCCCCCTCCAAGGTCGTCCAGAGTTTCTGAACGATTTGAAAACACATACTGATGGATCCTTCCGATCATTTTCCCACCCGGACCCCAAATTTTTCTATTCTGCGATTAAAAGTAAGTGGAATTGACGTTGGATCAGCTGCAATTATCCAATTGGGGTATTTCGTTACAACTGGTTTTGGAATTAAGGCTCTCGGCTGGATGATCGCCTATCACACTATCAAAAATCAATTCTACTTACATTTTAGTTGAAGTCTAGACCTCTGCTCCTGAGACACAAAACCCATGTTACAAAGCCCGCGCGCCCTCGCAAAGTTCCACGAGATATCTGTGCACTTGACATCAGTACAGTGTGACCGACGCGCGAGACACTGTGCTTGCGCAGAAGAGCCATCTAAGCACATTATCACCGTTCACAACACATCGGGTAGCCCATTGCGAGCTAAGGATTGTACGCGCCCCCAAAATTTGTTCTGCCTGCTTTAGTAATTTGTTTCACTTGTTTTCTTGTGAGCTTCCGTACAGGAAATGTAAATGTTAATTTTATGTGCCAAGACTGCCAGTCTAAAAGCTAGAAAGTCGACGTTTTTGAGGCGGCATTCAGTGCAACCGTGTCCCTCCTCAGTGGCGTCATCGACTTTCTTGCACGAAGTGTGTATGTCTGTTTTACGCGCCATGTTTGCCTGTCCCAAAGCTAGGAAGTCGATGTTTTTGAGGTGGGTCCCACCTCAGTGACGTCACCAACTTTCTTACACGAAATGTAAATGTCAATTTGATGTGCCAAGTCTGCGTGATTGAACGCTAGGAAGCCGACGTTTTTGAGGCGGCATTCAGGTCAGACGTGTCCCTTCTTAACGACGTCACTGACTTTCTTACACGAAATATAAATGCCAGTTACATGTTCCAAGCCTGCCTGTTTGAAAGCCATGGAGCCGACGTTTTTGAGGCGGAATTAGGTGCAACCGTGTCCTACCTCAGTGACGTCAGCGACTTTCTTTCACGAAATATAAATGCCAGTTACAAGTGCCAAGCCTGCCTGATTGAAAGCTAGGAAGCCGACGTTTTTGAGGCGGCATTCAGGTCAGGCGTGTCCCTCCTCAACGACGTCACTGACTTTCTTACACGAAATATATATGCCAGTTACATGTGCCAAGCCTGCCTGTTTGAAAGCTAAGAAATTGACGTTTTTATCATTCAGTGCAACCATGTCCCTCCTCAATAATATCACCGACATCCTTACACGAAATGTAAATGTCAAATAAATGTGCCAAGTCTGCCTAGTTGAAAGCTAGGAAGTCGACGTTTTTGAGGAGGGACGGAGGGAGGCATTCAGTGCAACGGTGTCCCCTCTCAGTGACGTTACCTACTTTCTTACACGAAATGTAAATTTCAATTATATGTGTCAAGTTAGCCTGGTTGAAAAGTAGGAAGCCGACGTTTTTGAGGCGGCTTTCGGTGCAAACGTATCCCTCCTCAATGACGTCACCGACTTTCTTCCACGAAATATAAAAGCCATGCCTGCCTGTTTGAAAGCTAAAAAATCGACGTTTTTGACATTCAGTGCAACGGTGTCCCCTCTAAGTGACGTCACCAACTTTCTTACACGAAATGTAAATGTCAATTTTATGTGCCAGTCTGGTTGAAAGGTAGGAAGCCGACGTTTTTGAGACGGCATTTAGTGCACCCGTGCCTCTCGTCAGTGACGTCCCCGACTGCAGTTTCCGCGCACGAACCCCGCTTTCGCGAACCCTAGCGCCGCGTGGCGGCGGTCGCCGACGTCGCGCGCGGCGTGGGGCTTCCCCGGGGTCTCGGCCGCGCCGCAGGAAACGCGGCCGCGCGGAGTGGGGGCAGCGCGCTTCCACTGCCCGTCGCTCGCCGCGGCCGCAGACAGAGCGTAGTGGAGGCCGCGCGTGCTGGTGGCGAAGATGGCGGTGCCCGTGGAGGCGATCGCCAGCGAGACGTGCGAGCGCTACAACGCGCTGCTCAGCGAAGAGGAGCAGACCCCGCGCGCGCGCTTCGGCCGCGGGGGCTTCGCGCTCCCGGCCAAGTACGCGGACAGCGTGCAGCACGTCAAGGACTTCCACGTGCGCGAGGATGACGTGTGGGTCGTCACGCCCCCCAAATGCGGTAAGAGCCAGCGTCGTTCGACGAGAGAGTTTTCACAATGCAGACGTCAACATAAGCATGGCGCATAAACATAAACATTAACATTAGTGATAGTCTGAAGTATTCACAATATCTAACATAAACGTAAGCAAAATAAGAGTTTCTATTGGCTGTGAGACATTCTGATTTTTCTATTGGTTGGACATGAGAATCGATTTCGAGGTATCGACTGTGTCCATGGCCCATATGGCGTTAGTTCTACTATCGACCAATTTCGATTCTTGATTTAGAGTTACCGTTTTGTGATTGAATCATATCTTACATAAGCATAAACACAGGAGCTTGAAGCCTGCAAGCTTTTAAGTTTACGTATTACGTGTTATGCTTATGCGAAGGCATTGTGAATGAGTCTGCTTATGGATGTAGTCCCAACTTTTATGTTAACGCCTTGCTTATGTTTATGAAGTCGTAGGCTTCCGCGACCAGAGTCATGTGGGTGATCTGGGATGACCGGGTGACGCCGCGTCGAAGGCTGAGTTGCCGACGTTTCGACCATCCTGTCGTGGTCTTCCTCAGGGCTGGTATGCTCAGGATGGTCGAAACGTCGGCAACTCAGCCTTCGACGCGGCGTCACCCGGACAGCCCAGATCACCCACATGCTAATGTTTATGTTTGCATTGTGAACGTGTCTTTGAACTCCGATTTAAATAGCGTGACTTCTGAGAGATGATCAGCTGTTCAGTTATTCAGTCGGGAGCGTCAAGAACAAAAAAATAAGGCCTAACGAAGCTTCAGCTTGGATAACCACATCGAGCTGAGGAACCGTCAGAAGGTTCATAATAGTCTTCGAGAAAGGCAAATATCAAGGTATTTTTCTGTGATGTGCCAAGGGATGGGAGTGTGGCTTATTATTAGAGAGAGTGGTTGTGATGGGAAGGTTTTTTAGGGGAATAAGATGGCCTGGGAATTGGAAAGGTTGATTGTAAAAGAGTTTTTGGGTGGTCCAGAGGTGGAAAGAGTCAAGGAATGTTTGAACGTAAGTGAGGATTTGCTTAAGATTCCGGTACGATGCGAAGAAGGCAAGGTCATTGGTGTAAAGGAATCTCTCTACTCCAGGGGTGGAAGGGATGTCATTAAAATATAGAGGGGGAAAATAAGTGGGAGAAACAAAGGAGTGGGATTTCTTTACCCGACGCGATAGTAATCCGCCATTTCGATTTTGTGGTTAGGTTTGTCAATGTGCGATTGCATTAAGTGATATTGTGTGTACTGGTGCAGCGGGTTATAATTTTCGATACCTTGGTCTTCCTCTCGCTTCTGCCCCCAAGACATCCATTCGAAGAAATTTCTCTGTGTGCCCATTAAAACCATTGTAGCTACTACCACGCTTGTGGCAGCAACGATGCCGGCCTTCCTATTTTTCTTCCTTATTATTTTTCTTCCTCATGGTTAATTAATACGTTGTAAAGTTCACACAAACAGAATGCAGGCATGGAATTACCGCCTCTGAACATACTCGGACGGCACAATTCAGTTGTTTCCCGGTAAACCTCCTTGCTGTGACTTTGGCTATTCCTACAGAATTCCTACAGAAAACGTTCAGACCGTGAACACCAGACTTTTGGCTTTTGTACTTCTAGTTTGGCATTTTGAAGTTACTGTTCAGAAAATGTATGAGAATTTGTGTGAAAACTGTACAGCATTAAACGCTTTTAACGGAGTTATGGAAGGTGCGGAATTATGCAGGTAGTATTAGCCCCTGACAGCTAGGCAACCCCGTGTTCATTGATGTTCGGCAGGTCCATGAAATGCGTCAGAACGAGACCTGCTGAATGGCTGTGCATAAGTAGTTGCGTAAAATCAGAGGAAAATTCTTTAAAAAAGTGATCATTTGCAACTTCTCCATCTTTGAACTTAGAAGTTTCTAAAATTTATTCAGAGACACTCTATATATGAGGTAACATCGTAATCGTATTTTTAAATAAATAAAAAAATGTAAGTGCACTCGTCTACGATGTTAATCATTTGTTCAGCAGATTCAGCGCGTAATCATGAACGTTGTTGTACATTACTAAACAATTATATTCATTGTATGTTCTCAGGTACCACGTGGACTCAGGAAATGGTTTGGCTTCTCATGAACGACTTGGATTACGAACGCGCCAGGAGCTCTAACCTGATGGAAAGGTCGCCTTACCTAGAGTAAGCACATTTACTTGGGTATTTGAAACTCTGTGTATACAAGTTTTTTCATAACTGCAAGTACTCAAGGGAAGTCCAGGTGTATCTCGACGTTTTTTTGAATTGGAGAATAATAACAAAGTTGAAATGTTATATGTTATATTTTCAATGTATCCTACACTACGCTTTTTAGGTAATTAATTTTTCTAAATGGGATGGGAGTAAAAGTTTTGCCACGAAAATTTGCTGAATGATACTTTTGTACACGTTTAATAAAATCTGCCATGTTTCCATAGGAAACGTGTGAACTGTCAGGCTCTGAAGAAATACATTATAGCTTGAATTGGGGTACAAACCACAAAAATGTCTAGAACCATGAGGTGAAAATGATGTTACCTAACGATATGGCGAACAGCATTTTGCTCTAGAAATGTAGTCGATTGAAATATTCAGTTATATTGATGTTTTAAAGATGGCAAAAGAAACAATGTCTAGAATTACTTAAAAGAACAGACAAAAATAAAAATTAATATTCACAAAAAAGTATTTCTTCTTCAGCGCGCTTTCGAGAGTTAAGAAGCCTTAAACTACTTAAACCTGATTTTTTCTACTGCAGATTTAGCCGATTAGTACCCGATATTATAAAATTGAAATACCTTAACAATATGGACACAGTGGAATTCGCGGCCAACCTCACGCCCCCTCGATGCATTAAAAGCCACTTGCCCAAGGAGCTGCTTCCGGACCAGTTGTGGACCAAGAGGCCAAAGGTGAGTCCACAACCACTTTGCACTGAAATAAGATAATCACACCTCACTTTAAAAATCCTGCACAAGTTCATCATTCTCGGAAATGCTCATGCAATCATTATATTTGTTTGTTAAATTTGTTACAAATACATGCTTCGTTTTTCAGATTATTTACGTTGCTCGTGAACCTAAAGATGCTGCAGTGTCATTTTTCTATCATGAGCAACTATTTGTCTCCTTCTCTGGGGAAAAAGAATTTTACTTCAAATGTTATTATGAAGATTTGGGTAAGACAACATTAGTGTAATAAGTAGGGAGAGGACTTTTATGCTCTAAAACATCTTGAAATATTCTCTTATAAATATATTCATTTATGATAAAAAAAACTTCGAAAATTTGCGCATTAATATGCAATTAAAATTAATAACACTTCATTTTCTTTATAAACCTTTCTTGACATAACTTAGAAGAAGCATGCCGAATGAAAAGATCTATTTTTGTAAAATCTAGCTTATTTCGCGGGAGAAATAATTGAAGTAAATATGCATATCAGAGAAGAACTTTGTATGTCTTAGTTAATTATTTTCTGCCCGGTTGAAAAAAATGTTATATCAAAAAATATCCCACATTTTCACAGGTGTTTTATCATCTACACACACACACACACACAAACCCGCAAACTGTGACTCTTTCTAATAAGTGAAAGTTCACAAATAAATAAATTCTATGCATGAAACGTTTTTGAGATAAGTTTCTATTTTAACAAAATATGCAAAATGTGCTCCTATACTTACATGAATATGCACCAGTAGGTAAAAGCGGCCAAATATGCACTACAGTATTAATTTTCATAGCATCCAATTCGAACCAAATGTCGAGAAATTTCTTTTAGCAATGCTCCGAAACAACGGATAAAAATATTCAAAATCATAGAATTCCCCTCACTAGTAATTAGCAAGAAATAATACACAAGGTAGTAACACACAGAAGAATGCTTAATGAACTAGATTATTTTTAATGGTCTCCACTATCATTTTAACAGCTTCCTGAGTTCGCTGAAGAAGGGTACGGGAAAAAGAGGGGAATCCTTACGCCCAGGGCGTACTCCGCCTCTCCTCGCGAAACAAGCAAAAACCTACGAAATACCAGGGCATCGAGGCTATCCTGAGCGAGAGATAGTCTGCTCGAGGAAGACAGTGTCATTAGTGCACTCTATGGAACAGAAAGTGAACTACTGTTACCGTTCGATTTTGGCAGCGCGTCATCCATAAGAGACGTGCACATCGGTCTTTATTCGGCGTCTGTGGGCAGAGACGGTGCCAATCTGTAGGTGGCTCAGAGGTTCAGGAGGTGGCTGACACAGAGCATTTCACCCTGTGCGTTTGAAGAGAGTATAGCTAGAAAATAGAATGACTAAGCGCTCGTTCAAATGAATTCTATAAAGAATAATAATTTGAAGACACGATATTTTGTAAATACATTTGTGTTGCACAATGTATTTTCCTTCCTTTTTGTTGGTGGAGCCATGGCACTATGTCACTACCCTACAAGCCGCCACTAATTAGGAACTCACGGTCGTAGGCATTGCAATAGCAGCAGGTGTGCTTAGCTAACTCCTTTCCTACATGCAGCAGCCGTTCCATCACACGGACGTTGATGTAATTCATGATTCGTTCCAAGTGATATGGAATTCCAGATATGGAAGTTTTTCGCAGTGCAGCCAAGAAACAATTGCATCAACGTGACATGTCCTAGTAAACGAGTTTGAAATACGATGAGAAAGAAAATTAAAATGTTGTGTTTTGTTACTTTGTCTTGACCAGTGTCACTTTACTTTTGGTACATTGTCTTGATCAGGTTCATAATGCGAACGCCGGGATACAAAGCACATCAGCGCATTGGCAATAGAGAGTATGTTGACAATGAAGCCTCAAAGCACTTTATGACCTACACTTCGTGCACTTAAAGTATTAGAAAGGACGTTAAAACCCTCATTATCAATCAAATGTTATATATTAAGAAATTCTTAGAAAATAGTTGATAATTAGTGGATCTACGACAGCACATACTTTCACGTAATATTATCATTTCATTGAGTAATATTACGTATTATGAATTGAAAGGGCAGGAACGTTTGGGACTTATATTCTGCCTAGTGCTGCGGCTCACTCAGCAAAATGCCGCACCTGCTCCTACAAAAGCTACCACTGATGATGATGATGATGATGATGATGATAATAATAAATAATAAATAATAATAAATAATAATAATAATAATAATAATAATAATAATAATAATAATAATAATAATAATAATGATATGTTGCAATTTTTATCGTACTGTTTAGCTATCATTGGAAAACATCCTAACCAAATCAAGCGCGTGAAGTTCAAAGTTTATATGGATCTTGAATATTCAAAAGTTTAAATGAATTAGTTTTATGTCATTGAATTTAAAGTATTCGTATATTAACTAGTTTTACGTAGTATTACTCGAGTCCTGAGGTGATGTGATTCACAGAAGGAGGTGGGAAGTTGATAAATTTTGGGTAAACCCGAATTGGAATGCCGAAGGTTGCATTTGTTATTAGGTATTTGCGGAGTCGAGTGTGGATTATTTATTTCTTGGATTTTTGATAGCGAAGGAAACTGTGTTTTGGGTGATGACTAGTGGGATGGAGGCACCTGAATAGATTGTAATAAGCATGTAATGAAGTAAACGTTATAAATGTGTACTTATATCTTTATGTATCTTCATTGGATTGGAGTTACTTTTCTTTACCTGTATCAAATGTACTTGCTTCATTTTCAGTGGCCTACACTCCTCTATGGGAACATGTGTTAGACTTTTGGAAAATGAAAGAAGAACCAAACATCCTATTCAACACGTACGAAGAAATGAAAAAGGTAGGAAGTAAATATTGGTAATCGAGGAACCAAACTTTGGACAACAAAGTAGTCAATTTGTTATCTATCCCTTCCCTAGACAAAAAATGTTATACTTAGCCTGCAGATACTTAAGATTCTCAGATATATCTAGAACTCCTTGCAAGACTTCGTAGGATATTGTTTATTGACTACCGAGAATTTTCCGCGTGGTAAAGTAGCCATATTGCATTGTGAGACTGTTTCATAATGTTTTCAAGTCACGTCAATTTGGGCAGGCAAGTACTCTACATTAGTAGTTTAGTGGCGTAGATGAGGTCCCCTGGGACTAACTTTAAAACGGACGCAAACATCTTGTTTTTTATTTTTATATTAGTGTATCTAGTTCTATGTATTATTATTATTATTATTATTATTATTATTATTATTATTATTATTATTATTAGTATTGGTATTATTATTGGAGCAAGTTGGCCGCCTAGGACCACGCGGACATACACTTGCACTAACCGATATATGGGTAAAGAAAATAATAATATGTGTAATTTTAATAATAACCTATTTTGTTTAATATTGTAAATAATGAGTAAATTGCACTACACACATGGAGTAATAGGCGAAGCTTGTCTTGAAAATATCCTCTTTGTGCCATAAAGTTTTTACATTCTGTAACCTTTTGTGTTGAGTTTGAGATTTAGGGGAATTGTCTTCACAATTGATATTAAAATAATTTCTTAAACACAAAGTTTTACTCTTAAGTGCTTAACCTGTGTAAACATTATTGGATAACAATTACATTAATTGTGTCACAATTGCAAGGCAGATTAGAGTGCCATGAAAACCAGATTCTTGTAGATTTAAAATAAACTATAGTTTAGACTAAAGTAAATATCCATTTTTGCTTGAGCAATTTCATTTCCAAAGCGCAATCTTTTTCTTATCCATTAATGTGCTAGAGGTTGCAAGTGCGGCACTTTTTTCTCTCCTCCACCTCCTGATACCATATGATAGTGTAGATTTCTTGGTTTTCACTGTCATATAACGTGAAGGATTTGACTCACGTCTGTGAGGATATGGCGAACGATCACCCGGGAGTGGATTGGCGTTGTATGCTACCTAACATTTTGAAAGCAAATTTGACGCTTCGCTAAGCCTCTCCATATTCGTACTAAAGTTGAGACTCCATCCTCTGGCCTAGAGAATTTACATATCACTATCACATTGTAACGAAAACAATAAAATTAATTTTAAAATATTAGTTAAGAAAATGACACAGTAGAAAAAGGCGTTTTCTGAGAAATTTCTTCTAAAATAACTTGAGAACAATTCTTTAACAATTTCTTGGTGTGTTAAAAAAAAAAAACTCTATGCAAGCCACAAACGTAACCAAACACACTTGAACTACGAATAATTGGTCTGGTTCCGACTCATTTTTTGGTTTCGTTCAGAGATTTCACTGCGTCGGGAGTTCATTTGTGACGGGGGAACGCCCGAAAACCTGATTTCTGCTGTTTAAAACACACAATCTTCCTTTTTCCACAGGATCTACCGGCCGTCATCATCCGCACAGCGGATTTCCTTGGGAAACGCATTACAGAGGAGCAGGTGGCACGCCTAGCGGAGCATTTGGACTTCAAACAGATGAAGAAGAACAGTTCGGTGAACATAGAAGCAAATCTTAGCAAGTTGCGCGAGCAAGGGGTCATAAAGGAGGAGCAGGCGTTCATTCGCAAAGGTGTAGTTGGGGAAGGTCGCCGCGAGATGTCGCCGGAAACGGCGGCGCGATTCGATGAACGAACCCGTCGTACGTTCAATGAAGACGTCGGAGGTTGCCCTTGGAACATCTAACTGTTGTGTGCGTATTTGTTGTGTGATACAGTCTCTCTTCAGAGTATGCGAGTTACTTATTCATAAACGACAATGGGCTGGGAGCATTCCTGGCCCGAGCGAAATGTTGGTGTGGTCTTCACAGTCTTCAGTTCTCAAGCGTGTTGGAAGTAGATTTTTTTACTCTGCATATGAAACAGAATTGCGTAAAAGCACTCGCAAAAGCAACTGAAGCAGAAAACTTTCACTGCTATGACTGAAGCATTAATGCAGTGTTAAGTACATGTTATTGTTATTACATATTTTATTTATGTTCATAATAACCATAACACATATCACTGTTAATCCATCCTTGATCTTCCCTTCTTTTATCATTCGTGAAATGGTCTATGTTCTAATGTAAATTATTTCATTTGCTCCATTTTTTCCATAGTTTAATGGTTTGAATTTTGGCAAAGAATATGACGATTGTAATAAGTTATTGCGATCGGCACATTCTTTCTTCCTCATAAATGTTGGGTTTGTATTTTCTTTGCCATTCCATCGCTACTATGGTCATCATTCAACAATATAATTGTTTATTCTTACAAGTTTTGCGCTCATCACCTTTTCTGGAATAAATGATTTCACAAAGACTATATAAATATATTGCACAATGATAAAATAAATATATATGTAAAAAGTTAAATCGATGCCTAATTGGCTTCTGTTACTAATAAATGCCGAAGGAGTGGCAGCTGGCTTATGTATTAATAATATTATGTATATTCGTTTTTCACTTTCATCTTTCTTCAGTTTATTTTAAACCTCATCTCACATATATAGCTGAAATATTATCCTATATCTAACAGTTTTAGTTTACATTCATTACACAACTTTGAAATTATAGAAAAGCAATTACATACAGTTTCAACTTTTTGAATACCTTTTTTTTGTATTATTTATATTTTAATATCTGAAGGATGTATGGAACTATGATAGTAAAAAAATAGTGAAACATGAAAAGTTAAATTGATCAAACAAATTAACTTAAGGAATTGATATGAACTAAGTAATAACAGGAAAAAATAAAATATAGTTTATGAAATTATTTGTTAATTATTCTGATTTTTGAGTGAGCTTGCTATCAGAAGTGGGCAACTAAGGCAAATTTTCTGTTATCGGCAGTTCAGGGACAGAAGCCTTTTTCCTCAAAACTTCTAAACAAACTACTTTAACAAATAGCAAACAAATCTTAACGGTCTCAGTTATCATGTTTCATGGCGAAACTAAATATATTTATTCTTTTAAGAGGTATATTTTATGTTTAATCTGTGAATCATATTGACACCAATATTGGTGTTAAACTGTCATTGAATGTGTCTGCAAAATTTTATCAAACATTTATCTAAATTTCCGTTCCGGTTATTGTTAAATTGCTATTATTAAAACTTTCAAAAGAAAATAATTTACATTGACATGAAAAATTTAAATATTAAAATGTTATTATATTTCAAAAATATTTCATGTATAAAAGTCGTCAATTCTTCATTTTCCTTGTTATTGTTCATTGTTGTTCATTGAATCTACTTTTCATATTTGTCCTTTTGTGTTATACGGTTTTTGAAATATTTGTATTTATCGGTATTATTCCTTTTAATTTTATATTTATATATGTTTTTCTTTAATACTCACCTGATCGTAGGCTTTTTGAAGTAATAAAGTATTATTATTGTTGTTATTTTTATTATTATTATTATTATTATTATTATTATTATTATTATTATTATTATTATTACTATTATTGTTGTTTTTGCTCACCAATAGGCCGACATGGACCTCGAGTACAATCACCCTGCATTTACCGGGGCGCAGAGCCATTATCTCGGTGGTAGGTGTATGAAACTTTTTTATCTGGGAATCAACACTCAGCTGGATCCTTTATCCCTTCTTTATCCTTTATCCTCAGCTGGATTTTTATCCCCCCATCTGGTGCGAAATCGCTATGGTACTCTCTTAAATTCGGTCCTGCGGGCAATATCAAAGCCAAGTTACATGATAAATGATTATTATATTAATTGTGTGTATTCTCTAATCACTTATTTACTATAACTTCTGGATGAACTCCTATCATCACTATGTGATCCGGTGATCGGAATAACCATTTATTTTATAATATTTCCAAATTATGTTTTTCCCGGAATAATGATACATGTAGCGTTGTGTAGCTTGTGTGTGTGCGTATAATATATGGTAACATGTTCATGTGATAACTGTGTATGTAAAGAATGTATTACTAAAATTGATGAGAAGAAAAAAGTCGTAACTAAGTTCGTTTCGCCATAGACTAATGATAAATACCTCCTTAGTCTATGGTATTACGTTTCTGCCCATCCCTGAAAATGCATAAATCGTAATCTAGACCCTTATTCGTTCCAGCGCTTCATTTAATAAGTGCAACGATTAATGACGATTAGTTTTCACAATGAACGCTCTACAGATGATAAGATAACTATCCATGATTCTTGTATGGACGAAGAAGCAATTCTGCAAAACCTCGCAGACAGCTTTATCGAAAACAACAGCCAACAATCTACCAATGAACGTTCATAGGTACGTGACGTTTCAGCTTAGAAGAGATAATTCACAAAGAGGAGATTCTCTCCCAGGGACGTCCGTGCGGCCGCACTTGGCTGGGATAGCCGCCGACGCTCGCACTCGACTGCAATATGGCCGTTGCCGTAACGCCGCTCGGAGGAGAGAAGGTTGATAAGTTTATGGGAATGTTTAGTCGACTGGCGAAAGGCCCTCATGCAAAGTTCGGCTCCTTAGGCTGCACGTTGCTTGCCGACTTTGAGACGAGCGTCAAGGCCGTTAAGGAATTCGAAGTTCGTGAAGACGACGTGTGGATAATAACACCTCCGAAGTGCGGTAAGTGGAATGAATTTAATGAAGAGACTTCGTGTAGCTGTAGTGTATTAATAGTGCAGTACTACTTAAAGGACAATCTAGAGGAGTGCCTCCGTGAATTTTTGTACTAGTAAAACACAGTTTTTAATATTTGTAACTAAGTTAGTGGGGCTACAACATCACATACGTTCTCGCATTATCTGTCACTGCTCGCATTGTATCCACAATATAATACAGGTAAACAAGGATAATTTCACATATATATTGAACATCCAGAACAAAAGACCATTCAATATATTATGAATGCATTCGAAACGATTTTACTCGATACATATCTGTATGAAGAATCCTCCTGACCTGAATAAAGTTGAATATACTATTTTATTGAACGTCGAGAACATTGAAAAACCAATGTTAAATAAAACCGCCTATTACCTTTCCCATCACCTCGCCGTTCAACAATGAACTTCTCGAATATTTATCGTACGGTGGTAATCTAAAATTATTATAAGTAACATCATAGCACTTAGAGTGATATTTAGTGTCACCCTTTCACAAATTTATAGATTAGACGAATCGAATGGATAGTTAAAATCACAGGAATTACGAAAAAAGAGGAATATTACTCAAAAGTGCTACCGGAATATGTGAAACTTCAATTCACTTTATCATTGCCTTCTGGCTTAATATATATCCACGGAAAATGTGAATAACAGTTTAATGCAGAAAATTATTTCGATTATATTTCAATTTTGTGAAAACAAAACTTTCAAAAAAAATTGTAACAAAACTGCTTACAAGAAAATGTATTAAATACACAATTATTTAATTTCTAGGAATTTGAGAAATCCATGTCTTGGAATTCCATGGAAGAATTTGAAATGGATGACGTAGAAACTATTTTAGGAACGGGATTAGTCAATTTCGAATGCATTGAACATACTTTTGTATTTATTAAAGTTTTTTTCTTGTATAATTTTGGCTGTCAAGTCCCATATAGTTTTAATAGTATAAACTTTGTACTCTTCCCCTTCTAATCTTCACATATTAATTGCCCCATCTTTCAAAATGTGTCAGGTTTTTCATTTGTAGTTTGTGCTCTCAACTTGCATTTTCTTTCGTCAACAATTCTTGAAATTGTTTGCACACATTTTATGTTCCTATTGCTGTTTTCCGGCACGGATTCTTTAAGAATATATTAAATTTCAGAGTTTTTAACATTCGGACTCATTAACTTGAATATATTCTTGCTTAGCATAGGTTACTTACGACACGGGCAGACACGAGTGAAATAGTCGTAATAAAAGTTTATCCAAAACTATGATACTCAAATTTTCAATTTTTCATTCATATTACATATAAATCGTATTTTCAAGGGACATGAATGAGATGTTCTCAACCATGAATGACAGATATAGTTTTCGTAATGGCAAAATCATTTTGTTGTAACTGTAAGTCAGTGCAACGATTTACTCGAATAGGGACGCGATTTATCCAGTATCTTAACGATATTATGCTAAAGATTCATCAATTCATTGAGGGTGCGAAATGACGGAGAGTGCCAGGGATTATCCCTTCCAGAAAGTTGATATCCTCTGCTAGAGAAGTATGAAATTCTCCAAAGGCTTTAATTAATCCACTTTAATTTCCTGATTGATGATTTCCGATAATGGCTTTGACATGTTCAAGTCACAGCATCGAAATCAAGAGAAGAGGAAATGTACGGAATATCGAACTTTTTACTCCACTTAGTGTCATTCATTATTACTCATTATCATGTAGTCTACGTTGTATGCATTCAACAAACATTTAGAGAGTTCAAATGAGAGAGAAAATCTTATCTATGAAATTTTCAGAGAGGCATATTTCACATAATCCAAGAAAAAATAAAGCAAAAATTTGGAGCCATTTTTGAGAAAAATAATTGTTTAAAAATTGCTAATATTTCATGCAAAAATACGCCAAAACTACTCACATTTTCCAACTTACATTGCCCATGATCTAATTTAAACATTCCTTTTTGAAGACGATATTCCTTAATTACGTAACTTTAATATTGTAGTTATGGAAAGACATGTATACAATTTTAACTCATGACATTATTAAAAATTTACAGAATTTAAAAAATTCAGATCAACACCACTTTTTCTTATAAGTGCACGTATGTGAACAAGAAATATCCACTTTCGTGGTATGAAGGAATCTCAAAACGAGTTTTTGTCTCAATATCGCTGTTTTTTGCTTCATTATTTAAATACTTACTCTATATTTCGTACGTAGTATGCGAGAAAGTGAAATAGGACCGAGAACCTACAATTAGTGTAGAGAGAGAATGGATCCCTGTTCTCTTCACTTAATAATAAATCTGATTCGAGTTTTAGGCGTCAGAAAATTAAGAAGAAAAAAATAAACTTATTGTGACTTGATTGCACTTCTCATTTACGAAAATCATCTTTTCGAACGAGAGCCAATTCTTCGTTTTTGGAATGAACGGTCTACACACGGATACCACACGGATAACACACTACAATACATTCATTACAAAACTTTACTTATTATACAATATACAATAACTGCACTCCCCTCCTCAGTTCCCGGATGTAAATTTGATTGAGCATTTACGGAGAAAAAATAGAAATAGACAAAACAGCATACAAAACAAAATTAACGACAGCGGTATAAGAATAATGGAGTAATATTTCTCCTGAAATTGTGAATTCCATGCCACAGAGACTTAGGTCCGTTATTCGCGCCAAGGGAAATGCCACAAAATATTAATATGTCTTTTTTAACAAATGTGATTATTAGGACAATAAGTGTACAAAGACTTTTGCGCCCCATTTGGGCACGGGTATCTTGTTTTCATCAATATCAAGGTATTTGTTTAGCTTTGTAAAACTATTTTTGTGGAAATGTAGGAAGAACTTATTTGTTGTCAAGATTGTTTTTATCTTATTTATTTTAAATCCATCTGTAAAGTTTTCACAGTCCCAAAACGGAAAGATCCGTGTCTACTCACTTTTTGTACTAACGGTATGTATCCTAATAGGTCTACTCTAAATGGCTTTTCGAGATGTTGATTAAGAAGATTAAGCTGTAATAGCCGGTCTGGATAGCCGAGGTCGCTAAGGCTGGAGGGTTGTGTGTTCAAATCCTGCCTCCGGCAGGGATGTTTGTGTGCATTTGTGTTGTCCTTACGTGATCCCTCTGATCGAGTAGCACGGTCTTGCGTAGAGAACGTTTTGTGTTGTCGTTAAAACGATTGGAATTTTTACCAATTGTAATTATTAATTATTATTGCAACAATTAAGTATCAGATCCTAGTTCCACATCTTTCTTTAAAACACATATTTCTAGAAGCAATAATTTCATACACTCTCGTGTATTAAACCGCAATAATTTCACGTGAATTACCATTACCAATACCAAAATTTTGGGCAAAAAATACTTTTTTAATTTTCAGGAACAACATGGACACAAGAACTGGTATGGCTTCTACTAAACAATCTGGATTTCGAAGGTGCCAAGAAAAAAGACTTGTTCTACAGGTCTCCATACCTCGAGTGAGTAAACGAAAGATGCGCCTTCACAGTGAGTTTACTATGTGAAATTGAATAAGTATGAATATTTATGGACACTTTAATAGGTTTTCCCGTCTTCTACCTGGAAAAACGAAGTTTATTTTTATGATGGGCCAGGATACCGTGCACGACGCCTCTGTTCTTGCGTCTCCTCGGTGTCTCAAGAGTCATTTACCGAAGGATTTATTACCAGATCAGTTATGGACAAAAAAACCAAAGGTAATTCTTTTTAGACCTGCCAAAAAATGAG